ATTTTAATTATTTTTTTAAAGGAGGTGTACTTATAGAAAAAATGAGGTGTATATATCATGAACCAGCGAGTAAAGGTTGAGTTTAATCCATTGAAAAAATCTAATTAAGGCTGATGATATATACACCTCCTATCTTTTATAAGTACACCTCCGATCTCTTTTTTTTTTTATAAATAAAATTCTTAAAATATCCTTCTAACTAAATTTTTATTTTAAGTTTTATTTTTAAATTTGTTTTTTATTCATCTCTTTTTTCATCATTTTTCTTTTTCTTTCTTCTTTTTTTTTTCTCATTCTCCTTTTTCATCACTCTAGTCATTTTTTGATGATTTTATTTTTTATTTTTCATTCTTGATTTTTCTTCTTTTACAATCAACATAATCATATTTTATCTTTCTATCTTTTAAATTCTATTTTTCACTTTCTACTCTATTATTTCTTAAACCCTAATTTTTCATTCAATCTTCATTATTCTCTACATTCAATACAATGTACAAATTAATATATTAAATTACATTTTATATTTATAATTTTTTTTAACTTATTTAGCATTACTTATGGACAACAGCATCGTAGACGACGATAGTGGATGAGGAGATAAAGAAACACGTAAGTTAAATTTGTCATACCGGAAAATAAGATTCGAAATTTAATTTTAGCATTCCGGAAAGTACTTTCCGGAATAGTAAAATTATTATTCCAAAAAGTATTTTCCGGAAGTGTGTTTCTTATATAATTCCGGAAAAAATTTTCCGGAACAGTAACTTTAGTATTCTGGAAAGCACTTTCCTGGAATTATGTAACAAAACTTTTCCATAAAATACTTTATGGAATAAGAATTTACTATTATGGAAAATATTTTCTGGAATAAAAACTTTATTATTCCGGAAAGTAATTTTCAGAACAAAAACTTTACTATTTCAAAAAGAGGGGTGCGGGAAAAAGAAAGAAGAAGGGGGGTGCGGGAAAAAGAAAGAATGTAGGGAAGAGAATGAACAGGGGTGCGAGGTGCGAGAAAAATAAAGAAGAAGAGGGGTGCAGGGAAGAGAAAGAAGAGGGGTGCGGGTGCGGGTGTGGGAAAAAGAAAAAAGAAGAAGAGTGCGGGAAAGAGAAAGAAGAGGAGTGCGGGGTGCAAGAAAAACAAAAAAGAAGAAGGGTGCGGGGAAGAGAAAGAAGAGGAGTGCGGAGTGCGAGAAAAACAAAAAATAAGAGGGGTGTGGGAAAAAGAAAGAAGAGGGGTGCATGGTGCAAATTTAAAAATTATATATATATTTTTTAAGAAAAAGATAATTTAGAGATTTTATATATTTTATAAAAAAAAGGGGGTGTGTTTATATGAAAATAGAGGTGTATTTATCATCACCCAAAATCTAATTCAGTAACATGTCCAAGCGAGAAGAAATTTGAGCTCTAATGGATTAATTAAAGAAAACAAAAAGATAGCCCAAAATGCACAAAAGAGCAACAAAAAAAGTATTGGGCTTTCTCTCTGTATTGGATATCGAGCCCATATATGAATAGTTATAAAGAAATGTAACGGGACCTTTATATAATAGATAATAAATAACATATAATAGATACTCTATATAGAGATAATCTTTTTTTTTATGTAATTTATGTTTATTTTGTTTTATTTGATTTATAACTTTAAACATGTTATAAATTAAGCCTAAAATTGTTATAATCCGTCTAATAATGATGTTATTTGTTAAATAAAATAATTTGAGTATTTTCTCTATCAGATCGATATATTCTTGACTTTTGAAGATTCATATATTCCTGAAGACCCTATCTTTGTAGAGAGTATGGAAACTTTCACTAATATAAAAACTCAAGATTTTCTTTTGGAAGATTTGCCAAGATGCTTACCCAATGAATGACAAAAGGCGTAAGTGTCATCTTACAACTAGTAACTTATGCCTTAGATGTTTGTCTTGGGTTAGAACAACCTTGTAATTTCGGAGGGACTACCTTTGTGCCTAGATATTTGGTTACAAATGGGAGTTGGCACTAGAGTAATACTATCTTGCTTCTTTATTGAAAATTAGGTTAACCTTATACGTACGAGTAATGATGTCATCTATATTATAATTGTGTGCTAGTGGGTTTGGTGTTGACATTCAAATATTGTGTCTAATAATCAAAACTAACATTTGTAGTATGGTTAAATCTACAATAGATGAGTGCACTCCTGGTGGTACTATTACAATAAACACTAGCAACTTCATTAGGTGACTTTAAAGTCAATGTGAATGGAAGTTATAGGAACCGATGTATGGGCATTGGTGAAATTATTCAAAGCCTTCAGTTAGCTTAAGACATGTCTCCTTGTTTGTGAAACAAGTTGTAGAGAGGTTGGACACACAATTTTGCACGACAATACTTGTTCCACAAGAATATACTTACACTTTTCAAGTGGTGGTGGGTGGGCATTCTTGCCCTCCTTCAATGTGATTGACAAGTGGGATTATAGGTCATTCTAAGATAAATGAATATGATTGTCTACACTCTTACTAGTTGGAACTCTAGGGGTTCTTGTAACTTTAAAGTTAGATTTATTATTAGATTAACTGTCTTTTATATTTTTAATTTATTAGAATTAAATTAAATTAAGCCTATACATAATAAATATTTAGTCTATGCAAAGTAACTGTAAACTTTAAAATCGTGTTGGACAACTTTTTTGCAAAAGTAATATTTGTTTTATTTTTTTACTCTCGTTTTTATTTCAATTTAATTATAGGTTAAATCCTCATTGCGATCAACTTTGTAATCTTTCTTATCTTAAAAAAAAATTTTAAATATAGTCACAGAAGTACTTTTTTTTTGTTTGTTAATTATTAATAAAAATAATACAACTTTTTGTGTGTATAATTTTGTTGACCATCTTGTTTTTTTAAATAACTTTTAAGCACTTTTTTATTTGATTTCATTATATTTTCTAATTAATTATTTAAAAATTACTCCAATTTATTATTAAGTACTTTCTTATATTTAACTTTTGTAACTGTTTATCATTTATTTATTTTTATTTTAAAAATATTTGTTAATATAGAGAGACAAACCACTAGAATTGATAAGGTGAAAAGATTGAAGTAGAAGATATAAAATTTTAGATTGCTAATGGATAAAAAAAAAAAGAGAGAGAAAATTTTGAAATTAGATATGATTATACGTCTAAAAAATAATTAACAAAATTAATATTTGTAAAGGATTGTAGTGCAAAGTATGTCCCAATTTTGTTTCTACCTTTCTAAACTAATAAAAAAAAAAGTTTAACTATAGTTTTATTATTTTTTTAAATTGGTTTATTCTGAGGATAGAAATAAGAGAAAAATAGAAATAAAAAATAAAAAATAAGGTGAAAATAAGTTTTTTTAATTTATGATAAATATATAAGAAATATAATAAAAATAATATTATAGAGTTGTTTGATTTAAATAGATAAAGAGAAAAAAAAATTATAATTAAAAAGATTACAATTTTATCCTTTCAAGTTTACAAAGTAGTATCAAGAATTTTTTTCTTCTTCTTTTACTCAATTAAATTAAATATTCATACAAATAAATCAAACTTATTTATTTATTTGTAGTCAAATAACATACATGCTATTTGAATACAACTAAATAAATAAGTTACTAAAATGTTGTTTATTCAAATAAACTTTCAATTTTTTTTTGAATAAAACAACTTCCAAGAAGAAAAAAAAAATTGCATTAAACTAAATGAATAACAACGTCTATTTAATGTATACATAAACCAGTTGAATATACATAAAATTATTTGTATTAAAACCTTATTTCTTTCCATTAACAACCTTTCTATTTGAATAAAATCTAATAACACATTCGAATAACATGTATTAATATTTGAAAATAGTCCCCTTTAATTGAATAACATTCTCTCTTATTCGAATACAACAACAATCAATTGAATAATAAAATGAGTGATTTGAAATTTGGAATACACATCAACATCTATATACTCTCGTGCATAATCGATGATCATACTTGATTAAAAAAATGCTAATCAATTAAGCAAATGATTTAATCAATTTTGGTGGTCCATATCCATCGGTTTCAAACCCAAATCAAACAAAAAACCTTACTTATTTGAATGAGAGAAGTTTTAGGAGGAGTATTTGAATGGATAAAAAAAACATTATAGTATAGAAACTCTTTAAATTAATAATGTCAGGACCGGAAAAATTTATTAATTTAGAGAGTTATTAATTTATTGATAAATTAATAATTATTAATTTAAAGAATTTTTAAGTAATTATACTATACATTAGAAATCAATAATGCCTTTTAAAGTACAATAAATGTAAACAAGAGGAACAAATGTGTAATATATTAAACTTGAACTTTAAAGGAAAACAGACAACTATTGAATCATATTTCAATAGAGTGTAATATTTTTGTTCAGTTTCTATGAATTATTAATTTATCATTTTCTTAGGACAAAAAATTATAAAGGGATCTCCCGAAAAATTATTATCTTATTATTTTATCGAGTTTTTCAATTTTTTACATTGGCCCAAGTCGGGACCAGACAAAATTTATTATTTTAGAGAATTTATTAATTTACCAAATATTAATTTAAAGAGTTTCTGCTGTATCACGAAGATAAAAGTGTCTCACATGTATTCTTATGTTCTTTCTTTCTTATTTCTTCTCCATTACGAGACGCACCTCTTTTAATTTCCTTATGGACAAAAATATGTTTAACTAAAAGATACACATTATTTTTCTTCACCTATTTTTGAGTCATCATTTCTATTCCTTGCATATTTCTTACTAATCAAACATAATGTTATGTATAAAAAAATAAAAAATTATTTTTAACCTCTTAAGTTAAAAATTAAAAATTTAAATTACGTAATATAAATAAGATTTTTTTAAGATGAATTTTAAATTTGAAAACTAAAAATAAATTCATTGTAAATTTGAGATATTAAAAATATAATTTAAGTTAATAATGTTATTGTTTTTGTTAGAAAAGGAAAGGAGCGGGATAAAAGATACTGTGTGTTCATCACAAACTCCGCCGACCACCGGAGAGTATTTTCCCGGCGAGAACATCAACGACATGGCTTCAACTTCAATAACTACTTTCTCCGTCTACTCGAAATCCCAACCCAAGTTCATCAATCTGCTTCCGCAGCCACTGATTCACACCCGCAACAAGCGCACATCAATTTCGTTTCAGCCAGCCACAGTTCGCGCCACCCTTTTCTCAACGCTCACTTGTTCCCACACCCCTTCAACGCCCTCTTCGGATTTTTCACCGGGAAGGACTTTATCCAAGTTCCTCTCAGAAAAGGTCGCATTTTTCCTCATTGGGTCGTTTCTCTTCTTGGGTTGCTTCGGAAAAAGAGCAGCTTTTGCGGAAGCAACGCCTTCGGTGGGTTCTGGCGCAGTGTTGGAGGAGAAGATGAAGCTTTCCGAAGAGAAAAGCGAGGAGGAGGAAATGTGGGAGCAGGTTTTGGAGAAGGATCCGAAAAATGTTGAGGCTCTTAAGGTGGTCTTGTATGGGAAGATTAGGAGAGGGAAGTCCAAGGAGGCTGTGAAATTTGTGGAGGATTTGATTGCTGTGGAGCCCAACGAGGTTGAGTGGAGGCTTTTGCTGGCACTTTGTTACGAGACTATGGGGCAATTGAGCAAGGCTAAAAAATTGTTTAGGGAAATCTTGAAGAAAAGGCCTCTTCTAGTCAGAGCTTTGCATGTAATGTTTCTCTCTATTTTCTTTCTGGTGGAATTTTGAATGTTATTAAAAAGTTTGAATTTTGGTTTTGATTAGAAAGGCGGGTGGATAGATACATAGATAGGGGTTCTTTGTGTTGGTTGGTTGTATGGGGTTAGAAAGTTTTGGAAACATGGTCCAGTTTTTGTTATTTGAAAATGATGATAAATATTGTGTTGCTAATTGCTGGTCACATGCTTGTTATGAGTGCACAACATAAAAATTGCTTTACTGCGAAAAAGATACATTGTTTGTTGTTCAGTATGCAAATGTGATGATGATTGCAAGTTGGCATTTTATATCTTCCGTAAATTCTTTAGTTTTATTTCATGATTTTGTGATGTTCATTCATTAGAATTGTAGAACACCGAGAGCAGAGTTTTTAGTACTGTTTTCAGAGGTGATGCTTCAAAAGCATTCTGTTATGCTGATATTTTTATCAGCATTTGGAGCAGTGCTTTGGTAATGAATTCATATCATCACTCAAAAGCTTTAGTGAATGAATTGTGAAGAGGATTTCTCTAGTGGTAGATTTATGTGATGAATATTAGTGGCAGGTATGATGCTTTCAAGCCAATAGATTAAATAATTACTATAACTATACTGTAATGTAACCCTATTTTGGAAGGGCTGGCTGAAAGGATTGATTTTGGGATCAATTCAAATTAGCGTTGAATTTACATACACTTGTCTCAGTCTGGGGAAAGAATGAGGATACAGAAGAAACTAAAATGAAGAGAAGGCTGATCATAAGTTGCACCCAAGTCAGTCTAATTCAAAATAGAGAGAAAGTAAACAGAAAATAAGAATATATGGTTATGTTATGTATTCTAAATTACACCCTATTATTCTTAGAGTCTCTAAAATAAAATCAGTTATGGGAAACATTTTACTCGTCATCCTCATTACTTTCTCTCCTCATTTTTTTGCAAACAAAGGCCAAACAACTGAGTTTGTGTTTTGCAACCCCAAAAAGGGCCAAGGCCAAGCATTGAAGGTTAAATAGACTTGAGATAATTAATCAATATACATACCAATGTAATTGAGCTGTTTCATAGGAGGAATACAAGGGCTGGAAGCATATGTATTGTCAATTTGTCATGGTTCTGCAGCTTACAAAGTTCTGTTCACTTATTGTGTTTATATATTTTTTCTTTTTTCATTTTCTTATTAAGTGTGCTGGTATTACTATTTGTGCTATTTCTGCGAGAAAGATAGATTACTTATTGTCCTGTGAACCTTGCTTCAACATCTTGTGTTTGACTTGAAGTTCAAAGAGTTATTGTAACAAGCATCCTGGTATTATTTCTGCAGTATAATAGTATTGAATATATTTTACTTTGGCCTTTTTGTTTGCTGTTAGCATTCTTTTGGTGTGATTTGATCAGATTAGTAGAAAAATATTTCTTCATTCCAATAATTTGGAGGTAGCATGTTAGTTTAGATGCTTCTTCGACAATTTTGTGACTGGTATATTAAAAGATATATGTATCATATTCAAATTGTATTATAATTCCAAATAATGTAATCAAGTTACCATGGCACTTCATTTGTTACGTCTGTCCACTTATGGCTGAGATGAGTGATACTCTTATTTTCAGGGTTTGGCTATGGCAATGCACAAAAACCGGGAAGGTCCTGCTGTATTTGAAATGCTAAATAATGCTCAAGAGTTAGCTTCTCGTGAAAACAGAGTTACCGAGGAGAGAAATATAAGAATCTTAATTGCGCAAATGCATGTTGTCCAGGTGAACTGTGATCCATCAGATTGGGGTGGGGCTGTTTTAAATTGTTATAGTACCAAACAAGTTTCCTCTTTCTTTGCTTATTTACTACCAATTTAAGATAAACCGTAGACAATACCTTTTAGGATTAATATTTAACATGCTTAGTATTGTGTGCTTTGCAGGGTAATTTGGAGGAGGGCTTAAAAAGATTTCAAGATTTGATTGATCAAAATCCTCGAGATTTTAGGCCTTATATTTGCCAGGTGAGTTGTCAGCTAATCAATTATGAGTTGTGATTACAATGGTACATTAGGTAATCTGAGACTAGTTCCGAAAAAGTAGGATAGCACCCATTCTTTCTATAGACAAAACTGCCTTCTTATCATAATATTGCCAAAATTTATGTTCATATAGTTTTATAACTTCAAAATTGGAATACATTTTATGAGCTTGCACACTTAAGGGCTAGTGTAATATTGCCAATATTTTGCTAGTGTAATTTTGTAAGATAATTCACAGTGAAGGGCTACTTTCTGTGGTCATGGAATTTAAGCAGCTAGAGATAATGGTGATTTTGGCTGATTCCATTCGTGAAATTACTAAATTGATACTAAAAAAAATTGCAGGGAATAATATACAGTCTCCTGGGTAAAAATGATGAAGCTGCACAGCAATTTGAAACATATCAAACTCTTGTTCCTGAAGAATTTCCTCAGAGGGGATTTCTTGATGATGTTGCCATAGCAGCAAAAAAAACATCACTGGAACAGTTTAAGAAGGAATTTAAAGATCAAATTTCTTCCCGGAAACAGAGATAATCTAGGACCTTTTCTTTGCTGTCTTGGCAATAATCATCAGTGCATTTCAGTAGCAAAAGAGAAAAGTTAGACCACTTTCATGATTCACTTCAATGTATAGCACAGTTTTGTTTTTTTTCGCATTTTTTTTTCCTGGGCTTATAGCACATGATTTGGATAGGATTTTCTTGTTTTACTTTGCTTAGATCATGTATTTTAATCCTTAAATGTGTGTTTTATCGTGGCACAACCTTTTTTCCCCTCTCTTTTGAGTGTGTTAGTAAGTAGTGACTTGCTGGGCAAGTTGTTCGAGGATTTACACCTATTTCTTAATGTCTTATCCTTCATATTCGATCTCTGATTGAAGTGCTCTTAACATACTCTTTGATATTCCTTTCAAAGGAGATTCAAACTTTGGTTTGCTACGTTGTAGGGGACTAGCCCCTCCTACTAGACCTAATCACTATTGGTAAAATGTTCTATTTATTGATTCTTTAATGTTCCGAGAAAACTGATTAGCAAATTTCTATTCATACTATACAAACACGAAAAATCATGTTAGTGTACACATCAGAATTCCATTCAATTAGAGGAACGAAAATCTCTCCCATCAGAAAATGAGTTACTCAACTGATTTGCTAAAATATTACTCTAATGATGGTAGGCTCAAACATTCTTGTTTCCTCTTCAAATTCCTTTCAGATGTATTGCATGTAAATAAGTAAAAATATCAAAATAAAAAATAAAAACAGAGATAACCAACCCAATGTAATATAAAAACCTAAAGATCCAGCCATTTTGTATCCTCATCGAAGAAGAAAAGAAGCAACAGTAATAAATTTTAATCATGAGCACATTTTTTCTCCCCCTTTTTTTGACAAGTTCACAAGTTGGTGAAGTTATTGAGAAGCCTGAAATAGCATAACTATTTATTCAACAATTATATTGATATGAAAATTGAAATTTTAAGAGTATAAATTCTACCAACTTGTAAATTTTGAAATACTCTTTTAAGTAGCCACACAATACTTAATTATAACACTTAGATATTAATTTAAGGTTAAAATACTTTTTTAATTTTTATATTTTAACTTATTTTACTTTTTAGTCCTTATAATTTAAAATATTTTTTTTAGTTTCTATATTTATCTTTTTCAATCATTTTTAGTCCCTATAGTTTAAAATAGGTCTTTTTAGTCTTTATATTTGTAGTTTTTTTTTTTAAATTTTAGTCTTTATTTTTTTTTTTTGTAACATTTTGTGTTGATGTAATAGATATCAATTTGACATTGTGTGTCTGATGTTGAATTTATTTTGTTATAGTTACGTTAAATTAAGTTCATCAATGTTTTGTGTCTCTTTTTTATCTTCACATACGATGTTCATTATTAAAATGCCTTTTTTATCCTTACAAATTAAAAATTCCTATTCTATCAACACAAAAGACATGACGTTATAAAAAAATCAACAATAGAGAAAAAAAATGAAGTATAAGGATTAAAAAGGTGTGTGCCTATATATATATATATAATTATAGAGATTAAAAATGATTAATAAAAATAAATATAAAAACTAAAATAGTCTATTTTAAAATATAAAAAATAAAAGATAAAATAAGTAAAATTATAGAGACTAAAATGGTCATAGATTTGATTTACGTCTATATTTAAATAATGTTTGATTAGTAAAAATTATATCTCATAAGATCAGTTTTTAGTTATTAGTTTTGAAATATTTTACACATGTCCATTAAAAAAAAAGTAAAACTGAGATTAAAAATATGTTTTGACCTTTAAAAAATTTGAGATTTTTAGATGGCCATGAAATTCTCAATACGAGCCGTCAGATCAGATTAATTTGGAGGTGGAAACAATCATGAATGTGGATTTGGGTAAGGATTTTCCACAAAATACAAAATAAAAACAGGAAAGCACATTTGGCATATCGCAATGTGTTTAGCAACATTATTGAGAATCTGCTATCTTCGTACATAGAGGAACCGAGGTTCAACGACATTAGGGGCAAAACAGAACGTGCCCCAAAAAAGGAGAACAGGCTCAGGGTGATTGTACAAACTAAAAATACCGTCGTTTACCTATAAACGTCTTTAAAGATTGTTAAAATATTCACCAAGTATCATGTACAACTTGTTTCGAATCTGTATGAGTATGAAAACTACCATTAGAGAATTATTTAGTGAGTTACACAGTTAACTAACCAGCGCTTTGAGCACTTTATTTAGACTAATAACTACAAACATCTAGCAAAACCCATATTTGGTCTAAATGTTAGTTGTACTTGTAATCATAACAAATTATTTTCGTTTTTCATACTCAATATTTATCTATAAATCTCTTAAACAAATTTCTATATCATGTTTGTAATCTCGACTAGTTTACCACTTACAACTTACAAAAACTCAAATCATGGGTCGAGCCATGTGGGGGCTTTGTTTGATATTTGCCCTAGCTCATTACCAATTTCAAGGTGCCCATGGAGCAGATTCTGTACCAGCTGGTCTTGGTATCAATTGGGGTGCATTAGCATCCCACCCTTTGAGTCCTGACATTGTGGTAAATTTGTTGAAGGACAATGGCATCAAGAAGGTAAAACTTTTCGATGCAGATTCTTGGGTCGTGAGTGCTTTCTCTGGCACAGACATTGAAGTCATGGTCGGAATACCTAATGATCAATTGAGTAAATTTGCTGCAAGTAGCAGAGATGCAGAACATTGGGTCAAAGAAAATGTCACCATACATATTCACGGTCATGATCATCGTGGGGGCGTCAACATCAGGTATGGCTGGGGTTCAGCAAGGGATAGGTTCATCATTGTTTCTATTCATTCTAAAATTTTGATTGGATCATTTATGTGAATTCCTTCTGATCGAGATCATAAATATAAGAAACGAAGAGTTAACTTGACGTACGTTTTAATATAATACACCAATATTAACATTATACAGTTAATTTGTAAAATAAAATAGCCACAAAATTTAAATTATAAAATACATTTTATAGTATATTTTTAAAATAAATAATATTATTCTTATAATAATAAATTGAATACAAAATAATATGCATTAAATAGACTTTTTAAAATTACGTACATTAAAATGCTAAAAAAAAAAACTCGTATCCGTCTTAAAACTATTCTGGCTAATTTTAAAATCTAAATCCATCAAAATCAACTAAAGACTTGGTTTAGTCTGAATAGGTCGAGTCTTATTCACCTTTCGGTTAAGTTCCTTCACATAGAACTCAAACAATTACATGCATGTTAGTAACATGGTAAATCAAATTATTACCTCTCCCACTTCTTTTTGTCCTTTTTTGGTCCCCTCAATTTAAGAATAATACTTAATCCAAAAATACAATATTAACAACCAAGAGAAAATGTGCCTTTTGACTTGGGACGTAATTATGATATTGCAGATACATATCTGTTGGAAATGAACCATTCATGGAAGATTACAACGGTATGTACGTTAAAACCACATTCCCAGCAATGCAAAATATTCAAAATGCCCTCGATAAGGCTGGTCTTGGAGACAAAGTGAAGGTAACTACAGCTTTGAATGCCGATGTTTACAGCTCTCCTTCTGACAAGCCATCAGATGGAGAATTTCGAAGTGACATTCGTGATGCCATAAACCAAATACTAAGTTTTCTTCACCAAAGGGACTCACCATTTCTTGTCAACATATACCCTTTTCTTAGTCTCTTCCAGAATGACAATTTTCCTAAAGAGTTAGCATTCTTTGATGGACAAGGTCAAACAATCCACGACAAAAATGCACAATATACCAACGTGTTTGATGCAAACTTTGACACCCTTGTTTGGTCATTGAAAAAAGCTGGCTACCCTGACATGAGAGTTGTGGTTGGTGAAATAGGGTGGCCAACTGATGGTAACAAAAATGCTAACACCTATAATGCAAAGAGGTTCTACCACGGGTTGCTCAAGAAAATGGCAAGCAAAAAGGGTACTCCACTTAGACCTGGAGCCATGGACATGTATCTGTTTTCTCTTTTTGATGAGGACTTGAAGAGTATTGCACCTGGCAACTTTGAGCGTCACTGGGGGATTTTTGGCTACGATGGAAGGCCTAAGTTTCCCATTGATTTTTCTGGCCAGGGACAAGACCAATGGCCTGTGGCAGCCAAAGGTGTTGTTTACCAAGATCGTAAATGGTGTGTCCTAAATAGTGATGTTAAGAACCTTAGCAAGGTGCCAAGTGCATTGGACTATGCTTGTGGTGGTGCTGATTGTACAAGCTTAGGATTTGGTTGTTCTTGTGAAAATCTAGACCTGGCTGGCAAGGCTTCTTTTGCTTTCAATCAGTATTTTCAGACGAGGGATCAAAGCGTTGAGGCTTGTAATTTCGATGGATTGGCCACTATTGTAACACAGGATCCATCAAGGGGAAGTTGCGTATTCCCTGTGGAAATAGAAAGCAATGGTAACATGGTTAGAGCTATGCGTACGCTGGGAAGCCTTTTGATTGGATTCTCATTGTTTTTCATAACATATGCGTAAAGAATATAAAGCTGGGTGCCGGTAAAGTATTTATCATGGGGCAATAGTAGTTGTCAACTTAACATTGTTCCTGTATTACAATCACTAGATGATACTTTATATCAAGGTTCTTCAGAATCTACGATAGTAAAGTGACACCTCCAAAGTTTCAGTTATGACTTTATGTCTATATTGGAAATTAAATTTCAATTTTTGATTTAGAAATATAAATGTCAAATCATTTTTGTTAGCAACTTTTAATATGAATATTCACTTCTTGGTCTTGGACCTAGTATTTTTGTTGCCTCTATGATTGGAGATGTCTTCAAAGAGCTTGGTGTGCTAGAAAAATACCTGAAGCTACATACAAAATATCCACCACCCAAATAGACACATAAGAGGAAAACATGTAAAAGTCAAAGTGCATGTTCAGTCTAATGATCTCAGGTCTACCCATACAAAGAAAGGCACGAAATATATAAGAATTTTAATCACCTTTGGAATGATTAAGAGCTATGGGGTTGTATGATGAAAAACTACTATGTGTAAAATTGCCTCATGTGTATGATATGAGGATACTAAGGAGTTGTAGTACATATAAAGCTCAAGCAAAGTACGTACTTTGTGTAAATTTTGTGGGTTGGTTGTAAAAGGAGTTTATGGGTTTAGTTGACCACTGTGATGTTAAAGTTTCAAATTGAACATCACAATAATAAAATTTATTTTGTTCCCAAACTCAAAGTGCTTGTACATCTTCACCTTCATATTCGTTTGCAATGATGTTGAGGTTTTATAGTTAGTTATACTCATTACCAGTATTCCAGTAGTCTCCAATTGTAAGTGTGTTGCAACTTACAACAACCGTAAATCTTATTATAATGTTGGATAACAGGGAAATTTCTTTTACGAAGTTGTGTTAGAGTATATATGTAGCTGAAAACCAATGGAAAAATGCTTTTTAATCTCAGCTAGCCATTTGATAGATCTAACAGTCCACATGTTTGTAAGAATATAAATTATTATATATAATCCTTAACTATTCTTTATATGAACGTGTAATTAAGTCTAATAATAAAATGTCTTTAAAAAAGTAGTTTAAATAATGTATTTTCTATTTTTCTATTTTTTACTATGACATTTAATTATTTATTTTTTGTTTGATAAAGAGATATAACTCCTTTCTATCATATCAACTCTTAAAAGGAATAAAGTGGCACTTCTAGTTACAATTTCATACTTAAAATGAGTATTTGATTTAACCACAATCTTTAATTAAAGAATATAAATATTAAACTACTTGACTTATAATATGCAAAGTGGTACTTCTAATCACCAATAACTTTTAATTTAAAGAGTAAATTATGTCACATTCTTTGAAAGTTTAGAGTATTACATTCTCTTCCTATCTTATCTTAAAATATAGAATTTAGTTTATTTAACTTAATACCGTTAATATAAATTAAATTTATCTTCCTTGAGAGATGTAAGTATTACATTATATACCTTGCATATATTAAATATAAAATAAATTATACTTTTATCCCTTATAATTTTAAGTATTATATTATCACTCTCTTATTATATTAACTTAATATTTTAAAAGAATTATCATTATAAGATTTCAAAAATAATTTAATTTTAATTATTTAGAAAAAATTATACTTTTAATTTAATTATTCATAAAAAAATATAATTTTAATAAAAATATATTTCAAAATATTTTTAAATTCATTGCTATTCATTCATTGAATTAAAAAATTGTAAAATATTTAATTAAATTTAAATTAATTTATTAAAATAATAAATAAACTAAAAACTATTTATTAAATTATATATTATATTTTTATATATACTTGAATATATATAAATTTATAATAATTATTTTATCTAATAATTGATTTTTAATAACCACCCAT